TGGAAACTGCCAGTTTGTAAATAGTGCCCTCACATTGGGCAGAGTGGGGCTGCCCCTGCCATGCCATGTCCCATTGCCTCTGGCTGGCCCCTCACTCTGGGAACTGACCTCCCCGTGCCATGCTCCACTGCCTCCATGGGGGCCCACAAGTATGTTTGGCACCAGGCCCACAAAAGGTTAATTCGGCCCTGATTGCGCATGCCTATATCCTTGAAATTGTGCAGATGCAGTCTTCCACTATTACTGCAAAAGGGGCTTTGGGACTGGATTTTGTTTTAGGGTTTCCATACTAAGGAAATTGACCTGCCCATTCCCTTGAAGAAGTTTGTTTCAAAGGCAAAGGTTTATACTCAGTCTCTGGCAGGATCTCAAGTCCTGAGGTACTGAAGTGTAACCTAATAATTTAGGGCTCAGAAGAAGGATGGTGCTTAAATAACCTATCTGGTTTTGAACACTCTGGAACTGTTCATTATTAAAAGTTACACAAATCCATGAAATGCACTGAATTCTACACACCTAGAATTCTACAGTACCTAGAAACAGCTGAGCAATGCTTGCATATAAGAAACTTTTATAGAAAACAGTATCTTGTATGAGTACAATAGAGTCAGTGCTCTTCTTGTAAATAGTGGGAGTTGTATAATTATGTGCAGCCCTAAAGCTGTTTCCCATTATTGAAAAGCCATTTTTCTGAATGATGTCAGATCATCTCCTAGGACAGTAAAGGATCAACTGTGACTAGAATATCACTTGGTGTGAACAGTTTAAGGACTCTGTTAATGTGCATATCTACATGTATGTCACTGGCTTTCTGTGACGCTTGCAACTTGGGGTCAGGAACTGACCCTACAGTCCTTACTCTGGCAAAACTCCAGCTGAAGTTGAGAGGGCTTGAGTGTAAGGTCTTTTGAATTGGGACTGTAAGGTTTGTATGAGATAATTATTGCACCCAGTGAGCTCAGTTGCTAAGGAATCACTACATGTAGCTAGAATTGGACTGTCCAGTATTGAGCGAGCCCACCCTTATTTAGTTTGTCCTGCCATCATAACAGGTACTGTCATGGGGCTTCCCCTTGAACTGCTGGATCACCTCAGTTTAGTAAGACCTGTAGTCATAAGAGCTGGTGGGTTTATCATCCCTGGACAGCATGGTTAGAGCTGTTTCAGCAAAGCCAATGAGCTGTGTTGGTAGCAGATGTGTTACGCCTTGTTAATTTTCTTTCCACAGGTGAGCTATGTGATGAGGTGATCAACCACTGTGTTCCCGAGCTAAATCCATGCAAACATGAGTCCAAATGTATCTCCCTAGACAGAGGATTCAGGTGAGTGTTTGTGTATCCTTGTCTTCACGTGTTGGGCCAACTTCATCTACTGACTACAGTGCAGTCACACTTGTCATGAGTTTGACCTAATGAGCCAAACTGAAAAGTAGTATGTGTGAGGTGGTGTACTTTAACTTATATTTTCTTCCAGCTCCTCAAAATTTGTTATTTTATTCCAAGAATAATTAGTGCGCTTCCAAAATCAAGCGAAGGACAGCAGTCACCCTTTCAAAAAACCTGCCAGTTCCCCTAGATTCCTCAGGGAACACAGGTTCTCTAAGTATTCCCTGTAGTAAATACAGTAAAAATGGAAAACACTGAGGTAATAAGCAGGGTTTTAAGGCCACTCTATGTGCAGGCTGACATATCAACATCACTTTTGCTATTCTCACATAGCAGGAGTCTTTTGTCCTCCCTTCTCCAAGGAGAGCAGGACTCACCACACTGAATGACCTCTACGTGAAGCATAGCATAGACTTCAACACATGGTGATTAATTCTGGCAATTAATCATGTAGTAATTGTAATGATGCTGTTGTGATTGAAAAAGCAATCACACACTGTTGTGTAGCTAACAAAAATGACAGTTAAAATTGGCTGTACCATATATTTTATTAATATTATGCTATTTAGGCACAGTCCTGACCAGATGGCAGAAATGAACTGAACATAAACAGATACATACCTATTTTCAACAGACTAGATATTCTTTTTCCCCTCCCCCACCTCCAAAAATTTAGGAAAAACTATGGCTAGCCCCTGAAAACTGGATGCCTGGATTAGATTTGCACTCCTTTCAATTTTAGACATAGTAAGTCTTGTCTTTGGAATGTCGTTCCAGATGGATACGTACTGCATTTAGGAATGGGAAAATTGGAAAGAAGGTCATCTGACTGCAGACTGTGGTGAACTATTCACGCAGTCAGTGCACGCTGGTGTTTCCAGTACAGAAGATACATATATTCATGCATTCATGGATTCTGTTTGTCTTTGGTATTGGAAATGCTAGTGTGCACTGATAGGATGCATAGTTCATCACACTCTTCAGACATATGACCTTCTTTCCAATGTATGTTTCCAGTGCAGAGGATACATGACAGTCTGCCCATGTTCAAAAAGCCCTCCCTTGCTTGAATGGATAAACATTGTCCAGCCAAACAACAAACAGTTTAGGAAACTGAAAATAAGTCTTCTCATTAGTAGAATGAGTTAGTACCATGTCGATATGCAGAGGGATCTGTCTGACACTCCCCAGTGACACGCAACTCCTATAACAAGGCTGACTTCATGCATTAAAAAATCCCATTGTAATTCTCTGGCACTCAGTCAATTTTTTAAAAATCACATTTAAATCAAGAGGGAAAGGATGGTCTTGTGGACAAGGCTGGGAATCAGGGGATCTGGATTCTGTTCCCAGCTCTACTATAGACTTCCTGAAGAACCTTGGGCAAGTCACTTCCTCTCTCTGCACCTCCTTTGCATAATGGGAGTGATACTGATCTACATCCCAGAGGTAAAGTAAAGCTTAATGTCTATAAAACATTTGGAGAATCCTGGATGGAAGGTGCTTGAGATGTGCCTAGTACTAATATTCATCATTGGCAAAGATGGGCTTCCAGAAGAAGGTAGCAAGAGTGAGAGCCTCTACTTACTATGCTACTCCTGAGGGCATTCTGTGCCAAAAAATTGAACATTCTGCGCACAATATTTCAAAATTCTGCAAATTTTATTTGTCAAATAAATGTGGAGGCTCCAGCATGGCATTGGGGAGCACAGGCCACTGGCTGCACAGAGGTAGGAGATCACTGCGCATCTTCCCCTCCCTCCCCCACACCAGGACACTGACTCAACGGTGAGGCTGCACCCAACCCTGATACAGCGCAAGGTGCAATGGTAATGGGACTCTGAAAGGGGGTCCAGGTGAAGGTGGTTGGGGCTCAGCGGGGGGGTCTGAGTGTGGGGGGATAGAGGTCAGCAGGGGGGTCTGAGTGCGAGGGGCTCAGTGGGGGATCCAGATGCTGGGGAAGTGAGGCTCAGTGGGTTGGGGATCCAGATGCTGGGGGAGTGGGGCTCGGTGCAGTGGGGATCCGAGTGCGGGTGGCTCGTTGGGGTGGTGCAGGGGGAGTGGGGCTCATCGGGGGGGTTCTAAGTGCTGGGGGGGTGAGTCTCGGCAGGAGGGTCTGGGTCGGAGGGAGTCTGGATGCTTGGGGGTTAGACGGATGTGGGAGCAGCTCCCTGTACAGGGATCCTTCCCCCTGCAGCTGAGGAGCGATGGGTGCAGGAACCAGGCAGAGAGGGGAGTTTGCAGAGCTTCCTGCAGCCGGAGGGAGAAATCTGGGGGTGGGTCTAACCCAGCCCCAGATGCTGTGCAGGGGAAGAGAAAGTCCCATTCTCCCCAGCCCATCCGGGACTAGCAGCTGAGCCCGGCGCAGGGTAGGAGCCACCAGCTGGGTCTTCCCCAGTCCTGCCTCCTGAGCCACAGTGATTTACCTCTCTGCCAGCTGCCCTGGGCACCCAAAACATACTGCTCGGGAGGGTTGCGTGACTGCTTTTGTGGCTTCCCTTTGCTTCCCTACCAGAAAGTCAGTGGCACAGAATTCCCCCAGGAGTACTGTGCTGTTAATAGGCTAAGTCACACCAAAGGTTCAAAAATAGAGCTCAACTGTGGGAGTTATGGGAAAACACCCCACACTATAACATGAGAAAGAGTGAGGAGGTGGGGAGATTTCAAGAAAGCTTATAGGGAAGCTGAAGCCAGCTTGCATGCCCAGGCAAAGCTGACAACATAGCCACCTTGGTCCCTTCCTGGTTGCGCTTTGATTTTGCCATTAGGATTGGGGAGATCTGAAAGAAAATGGAGAGGCCACAGAGTAGGGCATTTGCCCAATCCAAACTGGAGCAGGGGAAGGAGGTATATATGCTGCAGTAGCAATCTTGGCTTCACTGTTATCAGTGTCTAACTTACCATGTGTTGTGGGAAGGGGCTGTGTCCTGTTAAGCACCTAACATGCTTCTGCTTACTAAAAAATAATAAATTAGGCTCATGAATTTCAGGACAGTTAAAGGGAGTCAGAGCAAAATTGTCAGGTAGCCATACTACAAACATATGTTCCTATAGCACTGGGTCTTTCAGACAGCTGATCGCACACTATTCTCTGCTAACCAGACATCCCATGTAGGGTCACGTGGCTTGTTGACAGGTGAAGGACTTCGGGAAAGAGCCTCTTCCAACTCCTGAGGGCAAGGAAACTGTTAAATGATTTAAGACAGTTCCTGAAGTAACCTCCTCTGAGTGGTACAGTGATACCTGCAACTACCTGACATTGCTTCAGACATCCTCGTTCAGCTAATCCATTATTTGACTAATCTATTAGTTGCAGCATGTTACAAGGCAGAGGTAGCATGTCATTTCCTCTGCATGGTTCAAAGTTCTCTGACAGGTTCCAGAACTGAACATTCATAAATTAACTCAAAGTGCTCGGTGTCATTAGAGATTTGAGAGGATGAGACAGCCTCAGACCCAACTTGCTGCACCATTCCTGGGCATGCTCTCAGAACTATCCACCATGGAGGAATAACCCCACCCGTCATTAATCCCCAGCATGGATGTAGATAACACACCTTTTTTAGTTCACTCTTTTGCAGAGCAGTGACATTGTAGAAATTGTAAGTTCTTTAGTGCAGGGATTGTTTCTTTATGATGTATGCCACATACAGTGGGGTCCTGATCCTCATCCAGGACCCTTAGGTACTGCTATAAGAACAATAGTAATGAAATAATAATGTAAAAACCTCCCAAACTGTATGCCTCTATTTATTCAAAGACCAGGTACCTAACAGGCAATGGTGAAGCAGGTTTCTCCACCACTTTGCATTACTAGTGGCCCCTCAACATCGGGGTGTGGGCCGTGTCTAGGGTAGAGAATAGTTTAGCTCCTTTGCCCAACCAGTCCTTGGCCTTTAGCCAGAATGACAGTTCTGGTTTTTAGTTTTATATGGACCCTCTGCCCCTTCACAAATAGACTGAGACCACTTAGTGATTTCACATGAAGCAGCTTTCTGGTTGTGATAATGTTTGCTCGCTATTGTCCTGGGGCCAAATTCAAACCAGCAATCTAGTGATGGAGAGCTCCTTATCCTTTTACCAGTCTATTCAGCAGTCCACGTCTCTGGCATGTATTAGATACCCCTGTGGTCATGGCATGTATTTAATATGAGGTACTGCAGTGCAGCCTACAGAATGACACTGGCTCAAGCAGCATGTCTCCCATGAATCTCACTGGGAAGGTGTCCTGGTACTTAGTGAGGGGAGAGCACTCCAGAACAGATATTTGTCAGCAGAGAAGGCCCAAGTAAACTGTTCATAAGTAACTAAGTGACTTAGGAGCCTAAGTCCTATTGACTTTGGTTCCTAGGTGCTCATGTCATTTTTGAAGATGGAACTTAGGTTCCAAGTCCTAAGTCGTTTTAGTGCTTTTGAAAATTTTACCCCTTGCCTCCAGGTTGTTCTACGCAACAGACAGCTGTTCCAGCCCCACTCATCAGCTGATTCATTGGGATAATAGGCACCTAATGGTCCCTGGGGTATATTGGCCTTTTACTAAGGCTTGAGTACTAAAATGTATGTGCTGAATTCTCTGCTGCCTTTTACTTGTATAGTCCATTTCACCTGTGCAAAGTGGTTGAAGGAAAGGGGTTATGAGTTTCCATTCCAGCCTGGCGAGGCATTAGAGAGTCAGACCCTAAGGGTATGTCTCCACTGCAGCTGGGAACGAACCTCCCAGCCTGGGTAGATAGACTCAGAGGGGCTCAAGCATTGCAGCTTGGGCTGGAGCTGGGCTCTTAAGCCCACCCAACCCCTAGGCTTGAGAGCCTGAGCTCCTGCCCAAACTGCAATGTCCACACAGCTCCTTTTAGCATGCTAGCTTGAACCCCTCTAGCATGAGGCTGTCTGTCCAGGCTGGGAGGCTTACTCCCAGCTGCAGTGGAGATATATTCTAAGAGGCAGGCAATGCAAACCATGATATCTCTAGTACTTGAGGCAAGAGGCTCCTAAGCACTCATGTTGCCATGTTCTGTGATAGTTCTAACTTAGGAGCGTGTTGCGCTGAGGGATACTGCTGACTGCTTTGATCACAAACCTTTTTGAGGCAGGATGCGAACAAGCCCTTCAAATTCTCTGTCAGGATGGGTTAATCAGAAGTCCCTCACTTAAGACAAAAGGGGGTTGTGAACTCACCCAGGTGCAGGCAGAGGGGTTTTGCTTATATTGTTAGTGAGGTGGGTTTGTGAGGGAGGGGGTGAGAGAGAGGGAAGGCAGAATACACACAAACAGAGAGGGGAGAAAAGAGCAAAAGATGGTATGACTGGAACAAACTAGAGAGAGTGAGTTTTTGAGTCTGGTGTTAGCTAAAGAGGCTGGGGGCTGTAAGCTAAAAAACTGCTCCTTTTGTTCTTGGTTCCTCTTGTGTTCAGAGAAGCAGGACTTTGTACATGCCTTGTAAACAAACAACTGGAATGTTCCCAGGGGCCTGAAATTTGACTAGCTGCTCAGGTTGAAAGGGGGCATCAAGTGCTTGATGGGGTAGCTCCAAATTATCCAGCCTAGAGGTGACAAAGTTTAAAAAAAAACAAAAACAAAAAAAACCTGTAAAATAACAGAAATTTCAGATCAGAAAAGAATTCTGTGTTTCTAAAGGGCATGGCTAAATCTCAGCTTAGGAAGCAAACTGACATGTTTGTATGTGCTTTTGGCTGCACTCAGTTCTTTGCTGTTTTTTCCTTTTTTTTTTTGGAGCTAGAATTGCAGGTGGCTTTCTTCACTTCTAGCCTCCAGATCTTTATTGTGCTGTGATTATTAAAAGGCCAGCTTTCTGTATCCCAGACCAAAAAATTAGCTAATGCAATGAAATGCCTTTAAAAAATAACTTCAGGGAAGAAGCATGTTTTTCCACTCACTGTGGCTCTGTTAGAGCACAATATAAATATGCTTTATTATTCCGAAGCATGGAATTACTACCTGACAGCACGGAACACTGATTTAATGCAGCCCTGCAGAGAAAAGTGGTGGTTCCATCATTACCGGGATGGCCAATACACATCATAAAAGTGATACATTGCAGCTTTGAATAAGAAACTGCACATCATTCATTATTACATCACTTTACATTAGGACAACAGGGATCAATAAAAAACAACAGGATTAAATGCTGCATTTCCCCCCACAAAGTCTTTAGATGGACGTTGTTTGTTTGCAGGTGTGACAGAAACATTGCTGAAAAACTTTGCTCAGCTCTTACAGAATTTGGGGAAGGAATGGTCTTGGGTTTTATTTTATTATCTCCAACACTATGTTATTCACGCTGTTCCTATAGCCACCAAGATGTATTGCATGCCATTAGGACATCAAGAGGTGGAATGTCAACTAAAGAATGCCTACATATGGCCGTTACCGGGACCCCTACCACACTGAGGGTGGAGAAGGAAATTGGTGATCTGCACAGCATCAGATCTTCGAATCTCAACCACCCCATGCCCTACCCCTTTCTGGTCCCTGAGGGCTGCCACAATTGCAGAATCTAAGTTATTAGATTCTGTTCTAGTAGCTACTTTTTCAGTCACTCACATTGCTTTCTCAGATAAGATTATTTTGGTTTTAGACTGATGTGTGTCATTTTACCCAGCTGCAGCATAGTGCTAGGTGTGTTACAGATGGCTATAGAAGGCTAGATACTATGGTGCTGGCTGCTTTACCAACCACATCTATGGATAAAATGTGCCATGTAAGAGTCAATATTATTAATACTTACAAATGCCTAAAAGAGAGAGAATCATCATATATAGGAGTGTCACAGTCACTCACTGCTGGAGCACCTCCTTCTGGCCGTGTCTGAGGATTAGCACTGCCAGGCTGGTGCCCCTTCCTGTGGTTGCACTCTGTCACACTCGCTGTGTCTCACTCTCTTGGGACTCAACTGTTCCCGCTTCGTGGCTTGGCCCTCTGGCCAGGTCACTGTAGTTTCCCCTTCCTGGGGCGGGGAGAGGGATTGCGTTCTCAAAGTTTCTTGGGACCCACTGCCCCAGGCCATCTTCTCTTTCACTGCCCCTTAACAGCGCCACTGCCCAGTGGCTAGTAGGGGAACCCAGGCCTGCCCTCTACACTGGGTTCCCGCCCAGGGACCCTACAACAAGCAGTCGAGGGCTGCACAGTCCAGAACCATACTGCTATATCATTGGGCTACTTCCTACCTTGCCTTCTCTCACCCTGACAGTGACTGCCACCTCTCTCTCTGTAGCCCCTTCTACTCTCAGCTACTGGGCTTTATGTAGGCCCCTCCTGTTCCTGGCCAGCCGCACTTCCTCTTTAATTAACCCTTATTACTCCCTGGCTCCTCCTTCAGGTGGCTCACCTAGCCACCTTAACCCCTTCAGGCCTTGTGTGGGGTGGACACCCCGTCACAAATGGCCACTCCTGCAAAGTGTCGAGTGCCCTCAACTCCTATTGCCCTCAATGGGAACTGACGGTGCTTGGCACTGTGTCAGAGTGGGCCCATAATTCCCTGATAGGCAAACACCAAGTGATAATTAATCACATACAAGTTCTCATTAAGGAACAAATCCAAAACCCAGCACCCAGTAATTGTCCAGGGAGTGGAGAAATCCTTCTTCTACCATCCTTTCCCCCCCCCCATCCCCCCCGATTATGGAGTCTCTCTGCAGAGATTTCAGCCTAATATTTGAAGTAACATCTTATAATGAACTTGGCCCTCCGAACCCCTCTGGGGCATGGGAGAACAGGACAGGAGTATCTGCATAGCAGTGGATCCTCAGGTGCCACCTCCCTTGGCTTGCCTATGCCTCAATCCTTCCTGCCCCTGCATATGTCCCCACAGAACTCACGTGGGTCAGGGCTTTATGCCGCATGGAATACATGCCCCTACAGAGCCTACCTCTATCCATCCTTTTTACTGCCCATCCCCAGTGGAGCTGCACCCATTCCAAGGGTGCTTGCAGCTAGGAAAGGAGGTTACTTTTGCCCTTAAGAGCGTGAAAGCTGTGATCATAGCCACTCCAAGTGGGGTAATCCAGAATTCAGGGAGATACAGACCTGTGTGTTGTAAAATACACATGCACGTTGGGAGATAATTGGGGCTCCCCCTTTGTTTTGGTTTAAGTGATATGCTTATTATTTTCCAGCTGTGCAATAAAATCCAGCTGGGAGAAGTGAAATGGTTTATGGACTAAAATGCCTTCAAGCCAGACTAAAATTTAGTGTCTACAGGCTAGAAAGAGTCAGCTCAACTTTCCAAAAAGATCTGCTCCTGGCCTGAGACCTTGGATGCCAAAATTCACCCTAGAGCACATTTTTATGGTCAAGTTATAAACCTCTGAAAATAGGGTTTATAATGGAAATGCTGACACAACCTTAACACAACAAACTTAACAACTGTAATAAAAAATAAAAAAGCCAATGCTTGCAGTTTTGGTTGCATCCCATATCATTTCATCCTAGGAGCGTGTTGCCACCTAATGGCAGGAAAGTGGCATTGCATCAGTATTTCAGCAGGGATGTGATTTGGGAACATTCAGTTGTTACTGCTCTCATAGAGTATCTGCCGTGAAAAAGCAAACAAGTGGTGGACTAAAAACTGATGACCACCGCCTTTAAATTTGCTTTTGCCTTTCAAAGTCATTTACATGACTTTGTTTATGATTTGTGTGCACATTCTCTTTTGTCTAAAGGCTGAAGACCTCTCTGTCCCTAGTGGCTGCTATAAATGAAGCTCAAATCATAAGAGAGAAATGATCAGGATCCTCTTTTCCCATTCTTGCATGGACTGTACTACCTCTGCAATGTGTCTGGCCTCCGCTGCCCGGGATCTCCCAGGCTGGCTTCCAAAATGACACTCCTGTATGTCACCTCTGTGCTCGGCATTCTTGCTGCGACTCAGACAGCTGAGTAGATGCTGTTAAAAGTAGAAAGTAGAGTCCTTCTAAATGTTGAGTCAGTAACATGTCAAACACTTTTATAAGCTTAACCAAGTGAACTTAGTTATCTCATATATCAAAAGAAAGCTCATACATGACCATGCAGTGCCACTCTTTAGCAGACTTGGAAAAGAGAAATTATATGGTATAGTATTTGCTTTGATGGCCTAAGATGTGTAGCACCAGCAGTCAAAGGAGCTCAAGCAGTTCTTAAAGTTAATGTTTAGCTCTCTGTTTGACTGTTCTAAGAGTCTAAGAGTTCTAAGAGTGTTATCTCTGCCATTCTTACATCATGAACCATATACCTTGATCAAATCGGACATTGACCAGTGTGTGTGTGTTATCATGATGGATGCTAGAGATGCAGCCTACTGATGATGATCTTCCTTGTGTTTCAGATGCGAGTGCCTACCTGGCTACAGTGACAAACACTGTGAAACTGACGACGATGATTGTGCGAGCCACAAATGTCGCCATGGTGCAGTTTGCGTAGATGCAGTCAATGGCTACACCTGTGTCTGCCCCCAAGGGTTCAGGTAAGCAGAGAGTTGTGCTCATCATTCAGACTGTGTGTACTCTCTGCATAATATCTGGTCTCTTCCTACAATTGCTCAAACTAGCCTCTAGATGTGGTACCTATCCATAATTTACTGTGTGAACTGATGGCTCAGTGCTCTTAATCTTGCAGATGGGCGGGGGCCAGATACTCAAGTATTCTCTCCTTACTTTGAAAATAGAAAAGATCTCAGGGCCCGGCATCTTGTCCAATACTCTGTTAGTATGTGAGCGACCTAAGTTTCAGTGCTGGGCCAGCAGCAATGAGGAGAGCTTGGAGGGGTAGGAGAGGAGCTGTCCACTAAGCCCGTAGATGAGACTGCTTTGTATCACTCTGCAGCGACCCCTGTGTCTGACAGAGGCACAGCAGTGCTGTCAGCTAAGAGGAATCACATCAAGCCCAACTTGCCACCAAGATGTGGGCTATGGAAGTGGGGCAAAGTGGCAGAGAAGCTGAAAAAAGTGTACATGAGGATGAAATGTCACTCTGAGTTGGTGGCTATCCACACTTTGGCGTACTGGAGCAGATAAAGGGTTGTGCTTACACATCCAGTGAGAGAGCTAGCTTTCCTGTTGTCACTTGCTCTAACTGCTGTAGCCATCCTACATTATCCAGCCTTTCTAGGAAAGGGGATGATAGAAATAAGCTTACTGTGCTGGAAATCTGCAAACACCTAAGCGGGTGGGAGGGGTAAACACACTTACTAGGAATTCTGTTCTTTACCCCAATGAACAGGGGAAAACTGAAGACCTGCTTGTGAGGGTAATGCCTGTAGCCTTCATTTAAAACAAAAACCAAAAACAATCCTTTGGCTTTTCAGTATACAGACTCTTATAGTGGCCCAAGTCATTCTGTTCCATTCCCATTTTAGAAGGTTCTGTAAACCGTCCTTAAAATTCATATCGAGAAAAAGCTCGGCATATAAAATCTTAACCGAGGAGTGATTTCTTTTCTACATCTCATCTTGCTTATGTCTGTGGAACTCCATAGACTCCTGATTCTCGCTGGTGACAGTGAGATCAAATCAGGTCCATATACACTCTGTGCATGTGTCTAGCACTAGAGATATGACTCTTCACATACCCTATAAAGACTTATTCCCTACCCAAAGAATTTGCAATGTAAGGAGTCAATTCTGCAGACACCTGGTAGCCAGCACCACACTTAATACTGTGAGCTGTCCCTTTGAAATCAGTGGAAAAGTGCACATTAGTAATTACTGCACCAGGAAGTGGGTATGATCAGTAGGATTGTAGGATCAGTTCTAGATTAAGTCAAGACAACAGAAAGTGATTATAAGGCAGGGAAAGAGGAGAGTGAAGTTGTCACTTGCATGATTAGTGTGCATGCTTTGAAGACAACTCCATGTACTTTTTTTATTATATCTGTGTGTGGTTTAATAGCCACACACAAAACACTTGTGCTTGCTGACACACACATGCACAGAGCAGGTGGGTGAAATACTTAGAACAGAAAATGTCAGGGATTTCACTTGATCCTGTTGTTGTAAAATTTTCCTGTGAAAACTGGATCATTCTCCCAGTGGTGTGACGAGTTTTACAGTTTTCCATGTTCTGTTACCAAATAAGTTGTTTGTGAAACTTCACATGTTTGTAGAAATGTCTCTTCTGTTACACAGAGCTGTAATAAGACCTCATGAGATCCTGGCTCCATGTCCTGCACACACTCCACTAGAGAACATGCAAGTTCCATCAGAGAAACAACTGGGATGTTAGGTCAAGTGGAGGTCTAGACTTTTCAGCTGAGATATGTATACCCACAGCAGATCCAGCCCTCAAAAGATAAGGTTCTGAATGTTCTGTGTCTGTTGGTGGATGAACTCTGCACAAGTCAGCCTGTGCATTTCAAGTCTCCAACTCTGACAGCTGCCGATATATCAGACTTCTGGAAATCTTGCTGTCTGTCAAAGATGAGAGTGCTTCTCCAAACGGATTCACTAATCAGTGCCTGAGGTTAGATGCTGGCTTCCTTCCAACTGAATCTTTTCTGTATTTGAAACAAACAAAGAGAGAGAAATACCTGAAAAGATCAGCTTGGACAAAACAAAAATTGCATGAGCATTTATAAACCCTATTCTGTGCATAGCAGTTTTTTTATTTTTCTGTTTCATCCTTATTCTTTTTTTTCTCAACAAGTATTTTTGTTGCAAATCAGTCAGCCTCCTATTGAACTGACTTTGATATTTACAGCAAAGTAAGCATGCAATTTCACAGGACCAAATCTTACAAATATAAGAGAAACCCCTGAATTTCTTAGGCAAACCTTTTCCATCATGTTCCATTCCCAGCTTAAATCCCCTGGTGACCACATCAATACTTGGGCTAGAGAGGGTACGAGGTAGACTTTTTTTGGTAGAATTTTAATCACTAAATAGCCTTGCTATTTGTTAGCATATTCAAGGATTTGGATTGCAGACTCATGCACCTCTACGCTGCCTATTCAAATCCAACTCAAGCCAGTTATCAGATGGTGGTAACTCTAGGAGACCCCAGCCAGAGTGATGATCTGTTCTGTATTTTAAGGAATGTCTCTCAGTTGGTGCTCAAGAGGGAGGTACTAACAAGCATTTAAGAGTGTGTCTTCAAGAAATCACACTAAGGATCATATACTGAATAGAGTTGGTTGGAAATTCTATGATAGAACATTTTCCTATCTATATGTAAATGAATCAAAAATGAAATGTTTCATGGAGATATTTCAATTTTGACCCAATTGCAACGGAACCCAGGCAGAGTTCTGATGGAAACCTCTCTGATTTCCTACAAGTTCACCTGCCTTGCTCCTTGGCAGCCTGTGCTTTCAGGCTTCCAGCTGTTTGGCAGTCCACGAGCCTGAGAAGCCCAGCTCCTAAGCACCCAGGCTCCTCTGCAGTTCACCTGATGGTCTGCCACAAAGTGGGGCTTCCAGGATCCCAGGTCCTCCACAGCTCACCAGGTGGACTGCCCCTGAGCTGGGGACCCCAGAGTGCCCAGGATCCATAGCTCTAGAACAGCCCGCTATGCAGACTGCCCCCGAGCTGAGGCTCCCTTCCCTTTTGTGGAGAATTTCAAAACTTTGGCTGTTGTTTCAAATCAGAATGAAACCGATTTCCAAATATCAAAAGCCACCATGAAATGGGTTTACCGTTTTCTGCACAGCTCTAATGATTAGCCCTGATACAGCACTTTTCAGCCATAGGATGAAGTGGGTAGGCAGTATTAGCCTCATTTTACAGAGGAGGAAATGACACAGAGAGCTTAAGGGAATTCCTTACGGTCACACTGCAAATGAATAACCAGAACCCAAATCTCCTGCTCTTCAGTCCATTGCCCTTGACTACACCACCACCCTCAAGCTTTGATTCCAAATTCCTATGATTCCATGCAGTGAATAAATCACTGTGAGGAAGGTCTCTTTTAGAAATCAGCTTCTGATATTTTTCATATAGTTCTTATAAATTGCCTTGAAATGTAGATGCGAGCTCTACTGCCAACTTGTGTGAAATGAGTTTGGTGGTTTCAGTTCAGATCCTAGTGGTATCCACATCACCATATCACTGGCACAACGATCATTGACTGACTCGCATCCCAGTAGTCTCAGAAGAGGCTTACGGGCTGAAAGGGCGGTGGAGACTGAATTTGCCTTAAGCTCTTGGAGTTAGTCCACTCTCACTGCCCATCCAGAACAGTATCTGATCTTTTTCATAGTGAGCATTAAAATTCTGCTAACAAAAACTATCTGCTCATTATTCTTTTCATGCCTCTGGCCTTTTGTAGTTTCAAAGCACACAGCTCTGAATGGGAGTGTGACTTTTTTTGTTAAGATTGTAATTGCAAACATGTTGAGGGACAGAGTTCAGATCTGTGATGTGCAGGCATGTAAAATCACCTCCTGTGCATTTGCAAGATGTGCAGTGATATATGCCACAGGCATCAAACTACTAAGGGGATAGGATAACTTTGCAAATGTTTAAATACTGACAGAGGGAGAGAAGGTTTAAGGTGGCCTAGGAAAGATAACTAAGGAAGTATGAGATGAAACTGAGCACAGACATGTTTGGCTAAATATCAGAAAGAATTTCAGTGAATGTACAGAATATTCTCCCAATAGTTGTGTCTATACTATTGTAATAAATGCATGGCTCCCTAGCAGCTTTGTGATTATGACTGTGCTGTACATCATGGTCACATGGACAGCACAGTAATCGTGGGGTTAAAACCCATATTCCTCTGCTGAGGAAGCATATTTGAACAAGGGACAATCACCATTAGCTATAGCACTCTAGGGCCTCAGCTGTAGAGTTAAGCACCTCTGATTCCATCCAGTAGGGATTAGTAGTGTGCATTCACACCAGTCATTTCATTATGGTGTGAGCTAGTAATTGCTAATTTATAGTTGCTCTATATGCAGTACTTTAAGATAGCTTATTATTTAGTGTGATTTTCAAATACTTGATATGCTTTTCTTCCTGAAATGTTTTCTGTGTGTCTTCTGTCCAAAGTATGATTTGTTTACCCTGTGGATGAACTCTGTTTCTACAATTCATGAAACCCTATTGGGCAAAATCTGACTTGTCAAATGTTCCCTTTAGCAATCCATGGAACAGTAGTGTTGTTCTGATAAATGTTGCTTCAGAGGGGAAACATATATTAACTCTGCTGAGCTTTACATAAACCATGTTGGTGTTTTTCTCCATTGTGTGGCTGTTTCAGAGCTCCTCCTTGTGATATTTCACTGCAGGAAATTCAACAGTGATTATTCAAATAAACAAGGATTATACAGCCCCGTAAACTCCTGCCCTCCTTAGACTCAGGCAGCTTGGACAAGAAGGGCCAGACTTTGACTTCCGATCATTGGGTATACAAAAAGCCCCTGACAAACACTTGTGTGTAGTGTAACTTTTTGATGCTAGTAGCTGAACAGCTACAGCTCACGGAGACAGCCAATAAATGGGATGTGATTGCAGGGAGTAAATTACCC